CTATTAGTGTTGCTGAGCACTTTTCCCTGGCTAACCTGTCAGCCTCTTGGTTAAACTTCAGTCCTGTATGCCCTGAAATTCAGACAAAATAATGCTCCTCTGTTATGCAGGAGCTTTTCTTTGACAGCGACTATAAACCTCTTGTTCAGACCTTCATAGTAACATAAGTACTGCGGTTTCTTCTTCTTTTGGAGGAACCCACACATGGCCAACATTTTCAAATGCTTACTGAAATACTGTCCAGTTAGCAGACTTGCAACAATCCTTAGTTTGCTGCAGCAGAAATATTGTGAGTATAGGTGAGCCTGTCTTAACAGTTTTTCTTTTTGCCTTCTTTCTTTTGCATGGGTTCTCCATCAGATTCCATCTTTATAAATTTGCCTTGTTTATGTCAGATTGACATTTTAGAAAAGGGTCTGGTCCAGCTGGTGTTGCTGAGGAGTCTTTCCAACTCAGGCAAGAGACAGTTTCTGTTCCTACCCATACTCTACCTGACCTTAACGCAAGTGAGGGCAGTGCGATGTCGGCGAACTCTTTTGCCGATAGCTCAATTGCCATGGTTTCTATGTGAAATACCTTAATTTTCCAGGAAGAATTGGGATTTTAACCTTTTATTTTTCCCGTTAAATAAACTGACTTTACAAACTTCTGTTTTTAATGATGAAAATAAGTGCAATTCCAATTGAGGTCTTGGAGTGATGGTCTTGTTCTTTTCCGATGATCCTAGTCCGCCGAGTCTCGCTGTATTTCACATGCTTTTCAGTATGCGCTAGTTTTAGTGGAGGATTTTTTCTTACACGTTTTCTCTCTTACATGTACGATAACTGGATTATGATTTTTTTTAAACAACCAAGAAGATGGCGAGAAGCCGAAACAAAATAGGCGGACTAACTATAGAAGCCATTGGCTCAGTCATAAAAAAGCTTGACAAAACATTTTGTTCGAAAGATCAACTTCCTGAGCTTAAGATTTACCGTAATTTTTTTAGGATCGTATTATTTAAGGGAAAAAATTTGATTATTCAATCCCATTTATTTTTGGGAATAACACGTAATTCTAAAAGCAATATTTAGTCAATAATTAAACTTTATTTATTTAAGTTTAGCTAAAAAATTTCTAAACCAATTAGCATGAATTCTATGATATTAGGGGTGATAAATTTGTTGTCGTAATAGAAAAATTCGGATTAGTAGAGAAATGAGAGGTCAACTAAATTTGAATAATTTCGGTAAACGTACTACAAAGGGTACATTTAGCCTTAACGCTTAACTCTAACTTTTATAACCCACTTTACAACCACATTTAAAATATTTCTGATAAAAGGAATGCTGGACTGCGTAGGTTTACTTCTAATGATGGCATGCCAAAAGAGGCTTGATGCCTACTTACCCCTCAAGGTAATACCAAGTAAATTGTAGCGCCTAACACTTCCTCTAGATAAATTAACGCAACATATTTTTAGGACTTTAATTTAGTTCTGGCCGAGAGTTGGTCTTGGGGCTCTTCAAGAGAAGTACATCAGGTTTTTCGGAATACTATCGTACTAAAACATCTATATATTGGGTTGTTCAGAACATAATTGAGTACTGTTGCTAGGTTTGGTTTCCCTGGGGCATTCTGTCTAGGATTAATCTCCTTTATGGTGTTCAGTGGAAATTTATTAAATACCTAATTTACAAGCTAGGACTTCAATGTGAAAAAAGTAAAAAGTATGTCGAATGGTTGAAACTGTGCAAAATGTATTCCCTTTAGGATGGCTCTCAGACCACAACTTCACAGACTCACAAATTTCCATGCACCAACTTACATTTGTCGTCAGCAAAAGAGTATTTACACCCAGTTTTATAGAACTAATTACAGGAAATCTGGTACAATGACTTACTTTAATGAAATTTGTGATGTGCATAAGATGGTTATTTTTGGATCAGTTTTTAATGTATTCAAAAAGAAATACGTAAAAGTTTGTCCTCGTAGTTATAATTAATTTACTGATTTTGTTACTCTGAAAACTCTCTGTATTTCTAGATTTTAAATATTGCAATATGACTGTATTCATTATGGGGTAATCCTCTGTAATATACTAAAACAAATAAATTCTAAAGAAAACTTCTCCAAACCCGGAAATTACTAGTGGAGTTCATATTTATTTCATAGAACAAAAGAAAAAAACTTATTAATATAAGTCCGGTACGTAATGAAAACTTAGTGAAGCCTGGTTGGCTGATTTGACAATTGTTGGATATTCGCCCTAAGAAGTGCCTGTAGACTACTAAAAGAGGCGAATTGTTGAACAATACATCTGACCTTAATTCACAGCGAGAGTAGGCGGATCCAAACGTGATTTTATTTGCAGGTTTCTTTTTAAGTACCTACTTACTTATCTTCTTTACTTAATACTAATGTAGCCAATCTCATTCCCTTTTTTGTTGTTTTTCTGAATATTTACAAAATTAAGATATATTACAGTTTTAAACAGAAGGAAGTGCGACGGTTTTCATTCTAAGTCTTCTTCGTCAAGACTTCATACTTTTCAAAGTACAAGAAAAAAAAGTTTCGTGGCATCTGACTCGAGGTATTCAGCGAAAATAAGACCGAAAGTTTTGATTAAATTTCTGTCGAAGTATCCACTGGCAGACCACATGGCAATATCCCAACGGCAAGGAATACCCGAAGTTAATTTGATCCATGGAAAAAGAAATACTACAAAACAAATATTAAAAAAAAAAGCAATCCAACTTTATTAGAATGAAAACAAATAATTATCTACGGCATAGATCCTTCTGATTATTATATTTAAATCTTAAAAAAATAGTACTGCTGTAATATTAATCTGAATGGATGTGGAACTTGGAAATTGAGCTAGATTGATCTAGGCACTCTGTTATAACTAAATCTTTACTAATTATTAATGCTGTTTGTACCGATATAGCTTTTTGATTGCAGCATGAACTGAATTACCGTAGCTATAAAGAGACAAATTCTTTCACAATCCACATTCAACTCTATCATTAGTAAATAATACCGTTCCGATTAAAATCAATTGGAATGAAAAAACAGGATCAATCAAAGAAAAACAAAAGATTAATTCAAATAAATTTATAAACCTTCTTTATTTTACTTTTACAAAAACTGACAACACCCCAGTTCAATATATATACAAAAGCACTAATACACAATAACACACAGACAAATACATCTCGAACAGACTAAAATCAACTAACAAGTACAAACACGACCTAAAAATGGTAAAATAGTACACAAAAGGCATACAAAAACAAAACGATACCGCCCATATATCGGAAACCATCTAACCAATATTCAAGAAATTTTACATAGAAACTACACTAAAGACTACAAACTCAGTAACAAACTCGAACGAATAAAATTATTAAACAGGGATAACTAAGAAAATTCAACTATAAATCAAAATCCTTCATAGACACATATAAAAAGAGACCTGAATAAACAAGTCCAGTGTTGGGTGGAAGATCGATGTGCGTCTGACAGCCCAAATTAGCGAGGATAAACGGGCCAAAATGATTTGAAATAGGACCAGAGTTTGAGTTTTTCTTTCTAAAACCATTTTTCCATTTCCAACTTAAGCATACCCTCCGGTGCACCTAGTTGTGGTTCTGGTCTCACATAATGATAGTGAAGCCCCTTTTGGGCTAGTTGGTCAGCATGTTTTTTCCTCCTATAACTCATGTCCTGGAACCCACTTTAAGTTATGTTTACCTAGAGCCATAGGAAATTCAGGCACTTCCAGGCCTCACCTTGAAAAATTGTTGGGATCATCCAGGCTTTGTTGGGTATAGTTCAGCCCTTTTATCACTACATCTACTCTCTGTTCAATCTGTGTACCATATTAGGGCCTCTTTATTATACTTGGGACTACCTTTTACTCCAAAGATCTCTCGTATCTATGACCACTTTGGAGGGTCTGGCAAAGTTGAATTTTTCATTTCAACGAGTACCATTATAGCCATCTGATTTATTTAAGTGGGGCATGCAGGCATGTATTGCCCCTTGTGTACTAAAACAAGCTAGCTTTTGTACCATTTGTAGTTTGCTTTGTGTTTCAGTATTTTTGACCACAAAACTAGAGATCCAATCCATATGTGTCCACAGGTCTGACCGTTTTGATGTAAAACCAAAACGCCATTTAGAGGCTTATTCTCCTTGAGTGAGGTATGTTTTATTAGGGTTATATTTAAATTCATGTTCTCACACTATTCGTACAATATTCAGGGCGTTTTTGCACATACAAGGTGTCATCGAAGTGCCCTTTTATGATTGTTACTAGGTAATTTACTACTAACAACCAAGACATGGCCGATAGTACCCCTCCTTGGTGGCATCCTTTGACACAACTGTTGTGTTTATCAATAAAAATAGACTTTTTTTTCGTTTAGTCTGAAAGTGTTTTTCAATTAGGCAAACTGTTTTGAAAGTTCTTGGAAAGAAAAAGAAGGAGAAGGAACAAGTCCTAGGACAAGAAGGATGAAAGAAAGAGATCCTAGTTCAGCCACATAACTTCATGACAAATTATATATTGAGTCTTTAATTAATGAAAATAAATTGAAACGACTGATTTGGATCTTTTTTTAGCAGTTTAATCAATTCTTATAAGTTTTGTAAAAAAAGACTAAGAAGTTGAACCTGCCGGTTTAAGTCCGTGCCAACAGTGCCTTGTGGCGGCTCGAATAAAGAAACGAATTGGACAAAATTGGTCCAGATTTAATCCAAAAATAAACCAAATACTTTAGAAATACTTGTTTTTTCAGAAACAGTACTAAGGAGTTATTATCCTTCCGTGACGTTCCTTCGACACTTGTGGTTGGCCGTTAAGTTTTTTATCGAGTTGACTGTTTCTCATGTTTTTTCTTTTTTCATTCTAAAATTATGAACTGTCGATAAAGTTATTTAACTATTCTAACTTTCGATTATAACTTTAACTATTCAGCTATACCCTGCATTTTTAAAGGAATTTTCTATTTCATGAGAGAAACCTTCCCTTAGTGTAACCTCACATCAAGCTTTCATTAGATCCCAACGTTTAAATTGTTTAACGGAAAAATAATGTGTTAACAGGTGTCTCAACTATCCTCAAATGTCATTTTCTGCACGAAAAGCTCGGAAAATGATATTAAAACATAGGTTTGTTAAATTAAAAAATTATTTGTAAATCATCAAGACTTTTTTTATATATTTGTTTAGCTGATGTGTGGTAAAAATTGTTCAACAAAGCTGTAGAAAAGAATGGAGAAGAGTGATAAATTGGATTGCAAATATGGAGCGAATTGTTACCAGAAAAACCCACAGCATCATCAAAAATACAAACATCCTGAGAGGCACGATGAGACGGATAGTTCTCCAAAGAGAGCCAGGACTGACGGAGAGGGACTTGAGTGCAGACATGACACCTCTAAAGAGATAGAAGATAGAATAGAGATAGAAAAGCTCCCGTCAGATCCTAAAGAGAAGATAAAGTCCCTTTTCCTTCTCGATATGCCCCAGGACTTTTTTGATTTCTTCGAGTTCTGCAGAACGCTGTCTACCAAGCCGAAGAAGGCGTTAGCGGCTGTCGGCTTGCATCTAGTTGGGCCTTTTGACGTCCTGGACGGTGAGCTTAAAGATTGTACGAAAGAAGAAGCACTCAGACACTACCGTTATTTCTACGACCCACCTGAGTTTCAGACGGTGTTGAAAGGCCTTGACAAAACCGGAGAACACTATGGGTATTACAGGGATGACCCGCAAGAACCGCCTTGCTTTGTCGGGTACAATGAAGCTGAAAAAGGCTGTACCATAACTATCGTAGCAGAGAATCTCTTTGGAGCTTTGAACTACCACTTGGAAAAAATCAAAAAAACAGCAGACCCTTTTAAAAAGATGCAGATCCAAAAGATACAAACTTCATTGTCTAAAAAGGCTAAAACTGATCAAATTAAATTGGAAGAAGTGACACCTGAGATAAGAAAAAGAAGAAGTCACATCGTCACAAAAACCTTCCACGGCGCGGGCATAGTAGTGCCTTATGACAAAAAGACCCAACTTGGTTATAGAGAACTAGCAATGAATGATAAAGACTTGAAGAAAGTCCTGAAAACCCTCTGCAATGCTGATTCCGAATCAGAGAGGACGTCCGGATGGAGCCAGTTGCAGCCCGTCATCACATTTTCAAACATCGCCTGTGACGAGTATGATTTTGGGACCAGTTTGGAACTTGGCATCAACCTCTTCTGCCAAGGCGCAGAAATCCTGCATAAAACAGCGATTCAACAGCTGACTACAGCTTATGCACTTTTAAACAGGCGAGAGTTTATAGACATTATCAAAGCACACCTCGCTCATAGGACAAAAAATTTATCAGAACTCAATACAATTGCTTTATGATTTTTTTAGTATATCTATTAATCCTGTTAATGTTTTAAGAAATAATTTGTTAATTTATGAAAGGCAGTGTGAAAGGTTTATGCAAATCCTTGGTTTATTTCCACAAATGGGCCGAGCGCTCACATAATCATTTGCCTAACAAATCTATTAATGATTTTTTACAGAAAAAATTTGAGATTCTTCTTAATCCATTTCTTTATTTATTTATTTTCAGTTTCAGATATAGTAAATATAAAGGCTAAATCAAATTTGTTGTAAATTAAATACACATCTCAACAGACGTTTCAAAAAAGTTTCGTTTGCAAATTACTTCACAAAAAATGAAATCAATATATAACACATTGATATATTATTTAGAAAAAAAAAAAAAACTTCAGTTGCTAACAAATGGACTGAGAAGTTCTCGGCCTAAAGCTGAGATCATTTTAGGCTAGAGAAGTTTTAAAGAAAACTTTTTTTTAAATTCAATTAAAGCAGTCTTTTTGTGAAAAATTTCCCCATGAAATAATTTAACATGCAATATATTTCTACAACAGTTTAATTATATTAATAGTTTTAAATAATAAAAAAGTTACACTATAGTTTGCTGTTCTCATTTTGTTATCACCTTATGCTGACTGTCAAGATGACTTTTTTTAAATTATTTTTTTAATATTAAATATTCTAAAATTTAATTAATGACTTTAAAGTTTATTCAAATTTAAAGTTTACTATAAGCTCATACGTATAAAACCACAAGCTCATTTACAGTAAACACTTAGCTTTTTCCAACTCTTCAAGATGTCAAAAATTTCTTATAGGAAAGTGAGCTTTTGCACAAATATCAATCTTCTAATTTTCCTATTCCTTATTAGACCTCTCCCAATTAAACAGATAAAGCTTTCTTCTTCCTACAAGTTGCAGAGGGAGCACATAATTGAAGTCACATGAAATGAATATTTATTTTGATAAATAAGCTCACTTTTGACTTTAAATATCCAGCCTATTTGGTCTACTCTTAATTCACAATAGATGTATTTCATTTCTTGATTATGTTTCTTATACAAAACCTTGTGAACTCAATACTTTTTCATTATCATTTTGGTCTGCCTACTCACATTGAAGATGGTGAAATGCTTAAACCATTCTTTATCAAAAAATTCAGCTGGATAAGCTGACCAGAATGATATGTAACTATCAAACAAAAGGTTTAAACCAATAAACACTTTTATCTTTAATCCAATTCATTAAATAGTCTGGATTTCCTTTGATTGTTAAGTCCTTGCACTTATGCTAGTTTACATGTAAATTTCATGTTATAAACAAACAAAGGGATTTAATTCTGAATGTAACATGTAGTTGAGTTTATATGGTGGTAAATTCAATATCTGATTTAAAAAACATTCTTTGAACTTGTTCCGATAATTTCTTCACCTCAAACTTGAGCACCAAAACACCTGCAAACAGTGTCAAATACTTTTTTGTGGATGCTAGTGGAATTTTTCTGTTCAACATATGCTCTAAAGAGATCCTATCATAAATTTGGATTTAACTTTTTCTTTTTTTTTTAAATGTTTATTTAATGGATGATGGATTTGTCAAGCCTAGATGTCATAGCTTCCCACTATTTACATCATTTTGTTTCCATACCTACATTTCTTATTTGCCTGTTTACTTCTATTTTTAAAAACAATTATTTTCGATTTGTCTAAATTCACAACTAAGTTCCATTTTTTAAAGAATCTTTCAAATTGATTTATATTGTTTTGTAATTTATGTTTATCTGTTGCCAGCCAGTATTTACAACATCGTCGGTAAACGTCAGGAGTTTAATTATTTTGCCCAATATATTTATCCCATAGAAAGCGTGTCCCTGTCTTAGTATAAGTAGAAATAGTTCAATTAATTTCAAAAATAGTTGTAAGGAATGTCTAACATATGTTGGAAATTAGGCTGTAGGATCGGAAGGGTCACCCATCCAGTAGGGAGCAAACAGACGTTTCCCACAATCTGAAAGTCATACAAATGTGATAGAAGAATAGTCTGTCCACTTAATAATGACAGTCGGAATTATTTAGCGTTAGAAGGTTGTCCCGGAGACGGTTCATGGGACAGTATAAATTTGGGGCTGGGTGGGCGTTGTACACTCTTTGCTGGATGTCCATTGACATGGACCGGGAGGCTGTATAATGGACAGTTGACAATTATTGCAAGCTATTGTGTAGCCAACCCATGTAAGAAGTAAGCTGACCATCTGGCCCAGCAGTTTTTGATTTTTCTCCCCGCCCCCTGTTATAGTTGGGACACCAGTATAAAAGGGGATGATTTGGAAAGGCAGTCGAGGAGGACGCAGTCCAGAACAGTAAGCAGCCTCAATCCATCTAAGAATCAGCGAGATTACTCAGCCAGCAAAAAAACAGGAAAGACCAGCGATTGCACCAAGTCGAATAGACTATCAAGGACCCACAAGCTGCAGAAAAAGCTTCAGCCTGAAAGACAGTGAATATGATGTGGAAGTGGTATTGGCATACCATCAATAGATCCGTGGATGGCTCTATGTGTAACATATAGGTAGGAATTAAGGACAAACAGCTTTAAGACAAAAAATTTCAGAAAATTCTCAACTACGTCATACTGTTGATATCCCCATATTTGGCATAGAATGGCTGAGTTTCAAAAACACTGGTACACCGGGTCAATATAACGTCGTAGTTGAAATACCTTCGTAAAATAATAATAGTAATAACTATTTTATTTATTATTTTAATTTTTATTTTAAAGAAAGTTTTTTAACTTAATTTGTTATTGAAAGGGGAGTTGTGTTCAGAACTTTTCTTCTATTTATTAGTAGATTTTGTTATCTCTGTTTGTAATTTGGATAATTTTTTTGTTTTCTGTTCTTTTCTGCCTGAAGGGAAACAATGTACAAGCAGCATTGCAAGTGGACCTATAAAAACTGACCAAAAAATAATTTCAAAATTAATTTTGAGTTTTTCTATTTTGTTTATTTAAAAAAAAAAATCAATCTACTGGCAGCTAGTTAAGTAAATCTGATTAACTTAGCGTATTTCCAATGTGATACAATGTACCTAAAAGTTTTTCCTCAAAAAAAGTTTTTGTTTCTTTTTATTTTTTGAATTTTGAAGTTAGTAGTTGTAATAATAAAAATTTCATTGCCAGGAATACTGAGAATTGTTTTAAAAAATATATTTTCTTATTTATAAAGGTACTGTCCTTGATTTTTTTATTTTTTAATGATTTTTTCTAGAGATATATTTCCATTTGATTAAAAATAATTAATTTCTGGCTTCTAGAATCAGTTTTGCTTAGACAGTTTTTCTCTTAGAATTTTTTTTTATAAACGATAGACAATAGATTGTTTTTATTCCTTGTGTTTTACATAATAACAATGTATTTGTTAATTTCATTAGAGTTCATGGCCCGATTGACCGAATAACGTTTTTCAATTAATTAGTCTTTATGTAAGCTATTGGTTGAGATAAAAATATATTTAGGCATTTGTTAATGATGGAAATACGGTCTTAGTAGTGAATAGGGTCAGGTGAATAATCTTGGTGAAAATAGTGTTAGATTTAGCTTTTGAGACATGAAGTAATTTTACCAACAGCAGAGGCCACTGCTGTTGCAAACGTTCCTTAAAAAAAATTTTAAAAAATCTATAACGTGTGGTGATTAGTGACCGTTAGTCGATGATTATTCAGCAATCGTGAGATGCGGTCTGGTGTGATGTAGATTTCAGAAAAATTTTTCTTTATCGTGCCAACATTTCTATCTTTATTGAGATCATCTTCAGGGCCTGGTATTTACAAACATTGTTTAAATTGAAAAAGTGAATTTATACAATGTAAAATATATTTTTTATATTCAAAGTATTTCTACTCACTCAAAGTGTTTGTAGAGTATTGAGTAGAAATGGTTTGATTGAATATAAAAAATATATTTTGCATTGTATAAATTAACTTTTTTCCACATCCTACATGTATTTGTTAAATTTCAACAATGTTTGTAAATTCCAGGCCCTGAAGATGGTCTCAATAAAGATCGAAACATTGGCACGATAAATAAAATGTTTTTCTGAAACCTACATCACACCAGATCGCATCTCACGATTTCTGAATAATCAAAAAAAATGTTTAACCCAATCACAGCTCTAGATGAGACCTGCTTCACATATTGGATGGAGAGGCTAAGTGTAAAAGTAACTCCAAGATATTTACAATACATTACAATTTCAACAGGTAATCACTTGTACAAGTTGGCCACCATTTTTAAAAATGGCTGGCCTGGCCCTAGATTTGCAAACTTAACAATTAACTCTCACAAATCTTTCTAATATATGTTCCTCTCTAAACGTACACGACTGTCAGGTACATCATCGTAGCGTTATGTTTAACGTTAGTGTTCAAAACTCAAACACTGCCTTCAAATTCAGACGGAAGGTCATAAATGAAGAGTGGAAAAAAGGATAAGTCTTAAAATGCACCGTATAATGTAGTACTGAATATATTCGTCGACCGGAATATGTTTCAATGTGATGTTTGTTCCTAAGAGGTTGTTAGCAAAATAGCAAAGAATAGATTTGAGACCAAATTTTCAATAAATGTTAACTGATAAATATACGCCAATAAAACAAGTAATTCTATTTAACAAAACAAAATCATACAAAACTTTTACTTACAATTTTTGAAGAAATCTTTCAGTCCTTTTCATAAAAAAAACTGCTTCCATCTTGTTCGGAAGTTCGAATCGAAGAGGGCCTAGACTCCTAGGGACCACTCTTCGTTCCTTTTTCGTCCGCCAGGAGGGGTTGGTTGTCACCTGTTTCCGCCATTATTTAAATTATAATTACCTCCATTATATTTAGTGGTCTGATTGACCAAATTACTTCTTTCAATTAATTAATCTTTTTATGTAAGGTTTTGGTTGAAATGAAAAAGTTAGAGTCACGAGCGGGATTTGAACCCACGACCTTCGGCTCAATACGCTGCTGTTCTTGAGCTATCATGACTTCGATCCACTAGGACATCAACTCCCCATTATTTAAAAGGTCAAAGCCGAAGGTATTGGGTTCGAATCCCGCTCGTGACACTAACTTTTTCATTTTAATCAAAACCTTACATAAAAATATTAATTATATTTAACGTTATACCCCTCTAACCTACAAGTTATAGGGGAAAAATTCTAAAATTCTCTACTTCACCCTAACCACTGGATGTAAT